ATTTACCAACACTTAATAATCTCTTAAAAATAAAACAAAACAAAATCATAGACTGGCAGAGAGAGACAAGGAAAAGACATTTGTCTCTATGCACATTGGTTTGGTTTTGGTCAGAGTAGCTGCCAGAAACCCCAAAGTAAGATAATCAAGGTGCCTAGTACTGTGTGAGTTTTGAAAGGGTCGGGGGACAATGGCCTTGGGATTCCCTACCAATGTCAAACCCTGGACCAGTTTCTCTAATCCCCATCTTTAGATTCCAGTGTGCAAGTTGATTCTCTTCCAATTGTTACAGGCAATGACTTCAATCCAGGGCTTTTCTTCACCCTGATTTTCAACTGAACAGAGCTCATTTTGTGGTGTCTCAAATCTGTTTGTCCTTGAAGTGAATACACAAGAGTTGTAAATTCTAAGAAGCCCTGAAAGTCTCACGAGTGCAGTAGCTGGTGTTCATTTCTGTGCCCAAGAATACACTCTAGCCTCATTTTCACCTTGCTTCTGTAAGATCCTGTCCTATCCATTCACTTTTAGCTTTTGGGATTATGGCTATTCAGCCTTGAGAATGGTGGTTATAGGGGGTATCCCACTACTCAATGGAACAATATGTTCTCCAAATCTTATCATAGGATTTGAGGAGGCTAATGAATGACATCCCTGTTTTCTCCACGTGAATTCTGAACAAATCAAGAGAGGTAAAGTAGTAAGGCAGATAGAGAGGGAAATTTCTGGCAATATTTCTTATAAAACTGATAAGGAATGTGGCTTACCTACGTGGCAACAATGGGATTTCCAATGCTGCAACTTAAAATTAGAAAGACTTATTCACACCATTCAGGATACTGAGTGGTGGATTCTGTCATATTTTCTACTAAAAACATAAAATGCAAATGAACAAAAAGGCCTTGAAGAAGAACTTTACAGGTGTCACATTTTCTCCTCCTCAGTGGAGTTTATCTCTTGCTAAAGGGCCTCTTAGATTTTGGTGTAACTTGTTTAAGGAAAACAGACAAATATCAAGTTATTAATTTCATCTCCTTCTCTTACTCTTAAAATAGAAACAAACAAACAATATTACATGGTGATGTTTTTGGGCCCTGAAGAGAATTCTCTCAAGGGTTCTCCATAAAATTGGGATGCCCAGGAATAAAATTGACAGGAAGTTCAAGTTCTTATTTGATTTATATAACCAGAAAACAAGCAAAAAATACCTGACATATTTGGTAATAGTGGACTTATGTTCCTCAATATGCTAAAGTATTACAGCCTCCTCTGTGGGTCACAAACCTCGATAGTTACATTAACTCAATCAATGCTCCTTGAATGAAGGGGAACCTGAGGATCCTAGAGAATGGAACCTGTTCGAACATTAAGAGTCTTCTTTCTAGCCTATGCAAAAGTGACCTGAGTCTATTTACTTGGCCACTTGTGCTCTAGGGACAAGAACATAGCTAAATTTTCTGAGATCCTGGATCTGCATTAGTGCTAATTTATGGTGATGTTGGTGGTGGTGGGGAAAACTTATTGTCAGTACTATCCTCTGATCAAGATGGGGCTTATGAAGATTGAGGGATAAATGGATTTTATCTAATCTAATTTCATCTAAATCTAAGTCTTCCCTAGAGTAATTCAATGGGGCTCTGAAACCATCTAGAATTTATTTCTCTGTTTTCTACGTGCACTATGGATGGTGGGGAGCAGGGGGAGAGTCCTCTCTTTTCTACAGTTGGTAAAATCTCTACAACTATTACAATTTCTCCTTGGCCTGTGAAGTGAGGGTTTTTGTTGTAGAAAGGGCTAAGAGAAAGTTGATGGAACTTCCCTTTAGTAAATGGAAAACATTAGCACATTGCAGAAGTCAGTACTATCAATACAGACTTGAAATATGCTGAGTCATAATTTCTGTCATAATCCCATTCAGTTCTTCCACTTGGCCAAGTCAAAGAGTGGTGGGGTATGATAGTGTTTGATTACTGTGTAATCAGGTGGTAACACTAATTACGATTGCTGTTCCATATGTAGCCTCCTTGCAAGAGCAAAAAAATCCAATCCTTCACACACAGTATGCAACTTTCATCTAGAAAGTGCATTTTTATGCATCGTCTTTGAGAAGTTCAGAATTAATTAGCTTTCATTTGTCAGGGACAGCAGTATATTTTTACCTCCACGCTCAGGCAATCATCATTGTTCTGGCTTGGTACCTGAATATAGTCTTTAAGAAACTTGACAGTCTCAAAAGGTACCTTACTGGTCTGCTATATTGATGACATCATGTAGATAGGACTAGAAAACAGGTAATAGCAAATTTCCTGCATGTCCTGGGAAGACAGGAATGTGGTAATGTATAGGCAATATAACCAGTAAAAATACAGTCGGCTGCTTCTGCAGTGAAACTTGTGGGTGTATATCAGGTTCCTCCACCGAAATGAATACATTATTGTACCTTGTGCTCCCTACTATTAAGAATAATGTCTGAATGCCACTAAATTTTATAAGCAACATAGATCTCATTAGGATATCATACTCTGAGCCACTTAATGAGTGATCTAGAAAGTTGCTAGTTTAGAGTGAGACTAAATCCGAAAAGTCTGTCTGGGCAGCACAGGTTGAAGTGTAATGATTGGCTCTGTTTCCTGGGTTTCAACGTTGTAGATCCAATGGTGCTAAAAGTATCTTTAATGTACTAAATGAAGCTTATGGCAAAGCCTAACATGAAAATCAAAGCAGAGATCCCTAAACATGGTAGCAAAGTCATGCTTCTTTATCCTCTTTGGGAAATAGCTTCTGGTTTGCTACTAGGATGTGGTGGGGCCTAAATGCCTGACTCCAGATCACCAGTTGACCATGAAAGTTACTCTAGGTGGAGCTGTCTGGCTCTCTTTGTCATTAATCTGGATATGCTCCACAGCATTCCATCTTCAACTAGAAGTATAAACGGAATAGAGGTAAATTAGGCCCTGAAGGTCCAAATAAGTTGCGTAAGCAATTGCTGTGGGCAATATTTCCTCAGCCAACACTTATGGCCTCAAACAGACTTCTCCATGAGCAGTTCACTGAGGGTGAAAAGGCTTTACTTCAATTATGCATGGCTCTGTTTGATTTGTTGTGTATTACTATGATATTAAATCCTTTCAGGAGGATGCCCTGCAGGGAAGAGGAGAATGGGGGTCTTCTCAGGACACAGACTTTCAATCCACATATCCAGTTGTTCTCTTTCTTGAGGTCAAGATCTCTATGAATTTCTTGGGAGGGGGGGCTAGTGGGTCTTCCCTGATACGCACTCAGAAGGAGCAAAATGAAGGGAAGGGGATAAGAGGTTTGAGGAAGAATTATGTAGCAGGATTTTTCAGGGCCAGCTTGAAGGAGGAGAATATTCTATCCCATGAGAATTCTCACCCAAAGGCTCTCACTTCAGAAGACTTTAATAATCAAGTAGATAAGCTAGTCTGTTCTGAAGTCCTTTTTCAGTCTTCTGAGTGTTTTTTTCATGGCTTCATAAAAAAAGTGAATAATAAGACCACGTGGAGCATATGCAGGACTTCTTGCAAGTCTCGCCTAGCTACCACCGCTGCTGAAGACCCAGCCTGCCAGTGTAAGTGATCTATCTCAGCCCTGATATGGTGGTTATATATTACTGTACCCCGGTATCCCACCACCTGCATGGTGGTAGGTGGCCCCCTTCCATCATGGAGGGAGTAGGTATTTGTCCTCAATGAAAATGACATATTCTAGATTTGGATTATTTCCCTTTCCATCATCACTCCCAACACCACCACCCTTGAATTAACTGAATGTTTTCTGTATTCTACAAAAAAGGAATGTGTTCCAACCAAAGAAGTCACCTTACAATGATAATGGTGAGACAATAAACTGATACCTATGGAATTCGGTGACCTTAACATATGCTTCATCACCTAGAATCAAGTGACCTTATAAATATTGGTATGACCTAGTGAAATCTTAGGACTATTTCAAGCTGGGGAACATTTCCAGAGGCTGAGATACTCTTCTGCAAAAACCATCTATTTCTCCTATAGCTAAAATTTCAGTTAATAACATACATGAAGGTGAAGCTCTCACAATTGCACTTAGTAACCTATGCACAAAATGTTGCTTTTCAACACTGCAAGCTAGGCTTTGTAGGTTTAGAGGGTTTAGAACCCTAGAGAGGACAAGATTTACTGCCAGAATTTCTGTCTCCTGAGAAGAGGTCTCTTCTCCCTTAGCTGGGCTATAAGGCTTCAATAGTCTACTTGTAGAGGCCACAGGTAGAACTCTGTAAATCTCGTGTTTGTTTTCGTTCTTTTGATCCTCAGTCAACTGGCCAAAGGCAACTCCCCATGGAAAACTATTAATTAAAACTCTCAGGTGGTAACTGGAGCTGCAGAGGTGAGGTGAAAAGAGAAGGAAGGAAGAAAAATGCAAGAGAGGCAACTGGGAGAGAATGGAGTTCCTGGGGAAGCTGGCGTGACAGAAAGATCAAACATGGACTGGAAAAGTCTGTCCTGGACTCCCTGTTTATCCGCTATGGTGTGACCTTCAGTTAACTTTTGTATTAAACTCTCATGGCTCAAGTCCCTACCCAGAATCCTGCAAAATGAATGACCAGAATCTATGCCTGGTGTTGAGAGTTGCATAGGCGAGGAGAAGCCAATAAAATACCTCCCACCATCTCCTAAACCCTTTCCTCTCGCCTATACTTCTACTTAGCTCACTCCTTGTCAGACTTTCTTTATCCAATTGGCACGTGCAATTCGCCCAAAGCACATGTTGTTTAATTCGGTGCAAATAGTAGGGTTTTTGTCACCCAAAATGGCTATCGAGTGGCCTTTTAAAAAATAAATCAGTGATTAGTTTCTTAGAGAACACAATCCCCACTTCATAAACTTCAACTGCCTAAGGGGTATTGAGTTTGCCATTTCATCAAGAGGGAAAGAAGGGTGGTCATGTATAGTCACAGTACAAGTATGTACGAGTCACCCACTCTGTTGGGCAGAAGTGAGGCGGATATGCATAAGGCAACCCAAGGATTCTGTTTCGATTTAATTCGGAGGCTGGACATGGGGACAGGCTGTGTCACATGGTCCAGAATTACTGCCATGGGAGCTCAGTTGTTTTGGATTGTGGTTTCAATCCAGGGCATGTAGTTAAAGATTTTGGTATAAATGCCAACGTCAGCTCTCAAAACACATCCGTCTGTAAAAGTCAAGATTCCTTGAAGTATTCCATTGCAGACTGCTGGGGCAGCGGTGACTTCCTGCCAGGAAAAAAGAAACCAAGTTATCTTTCTGGCAACAGATACAAGGAATAAAGTGCGAAAATTAAGGCATTGAGAGTACCTTACCTTGCAAGGCTTCCTCCTTCCTGGCACAATGCCCACACACAGCATGGTTTCTTTGATGTTCTGGGCTTTATAGGTATTGCGGCATTGACTCTTGGAGATTACAGAGATGTTCACATTTTGTAGTGAGTTGGGGTCACTGGCTATAGGAAAGAGAGAAATAGAATTTCTTTGAGTTATTAGATACCAAACTTTTTTTTCCCCTTTTTCTCTTTTTCAACATATTTCTTCTTCTCCCGGCAGAAAGCAAAAGAGATCAAACACTGAGAGAAATCAGAATTGTGGCAGCTAGGACAACAGGCAGTTATCAAATTAAACAATTTCTCATGATGCAAGTGTCTATCTCCTTATAAAAAAGATTAAATTCTTGGAAGTTACATGTAAATAGGAGACATCTCTACAATGAAATGAAACAAATTACTTTAAAATTTTCTGGAAATTTAAACATTAAAAGAGTGTGCTTTGCGGTGGAATTTTTCTTTACTTAGTTTAATTTCAGATCTTGTGAGCTCTAATGTATATTATTTTTCCCATACTTTAAATTAATTACTGACTTCTTTTTAAATTTTTTCATTGAAATATATTTGATGTGTAACACCGCACAAATTTAAAGTGTACATGTTGATTTGATACATTTATATATGTGAGAATGATTCCCATTGTAGTGATAGGACCTCTTTCATGTCACATAATTATCATTTCTGTTTTTGTGGTGGGATTAATGAAGACCTAGTCTGTTAGCAAGTTTGATTACAATACGATATTTTTGTTTATATTCATTATACCGTGCGTTAGATCTCCACGACTTATTTATCTACTAGTTGCCACTTTGTACCCTTAAACAACATCTCTCCTATTTTTACAGTTTGAAGGAATTTAGAGCTCTAAGCCTAGGTTTTCATTTATCACATCAAAAAAATCCAGTATCTGCTCCAAAAAAAAAGCCAAAACCACTCAAAAAGTGATTTTCTTAACCCCATGAAAGCAGGATTTAAAACTGGGCCTCTTGATTCCTAGTTCAAATTATTTCCTCTATATCAATGGTTCACAAATACTGTGAACTGTGCAGACTCATAACAAAGTTTTTCCAATACGTAACAAAATGAGAAAAATGAGAACAAAGTAGTACCTATGCATATGTGAAGTGTTCTTGCCAAGGATTCACTTTTGGAAAGAAGTATTTTACTTTGAAATTTTGCTTTTTACTGGGAATGTGTTTATTTGAATGTCTTTATTTGAAAATGTTATATTAATTCTTGAAAAGAAAATATTTGAGATTCTTTGCTTTGTTTTTCAGTCCAGCAATAATTGCATGGCTCAATATTTATTTTGGGATTGCCTGTTTAGCAAATGCTTGCTTAACTGCTTCATGAACCAGATGAAAATAAACTGCACGTTTTTGTAAGTCACATCTCTTTTTTGACTCAAGTGGCATAACACAGATGAATCAAACATGCTTGCTCACCAGAGGGACATTCCCTATTTCCACAACTCAAATTGACTGTCAAAGGACAAAAAATTTCTACTTGTCTAAAGGATATTATGCTAAGTGAAATAAGTCAGACACAGAAAGACAAATACTGTATGATATCACTTACGTGTAGAATCTAAAACAGCCTAACTCGTAGAAACAGAGAGTAGAATGGTGATTACCAGGGCCTGACGGGTGGGGGACATGGGGGTATGTTGATTAAAGGGTACAAACTTTCAGTTATAAGATGAATAAATTCTGGAGATTTAATGTACAGCATGGTGACTGTAGTTAATAATATTGTATTGTGCACTTGATATTTTCTAAGACAGTAGATTGTAAATTCTCTCACCACACACACATATAAAAGGTAAATATGTGAGGTGATAAATAATTAGCTTGATTCAGGGCATCATTTCGCAGTGTATCTGAGTGTCAAAATGTGATGTTATACACCTTGAATATATACAATGTTTATTCCTGAATCATACTTCAATAAAGCTGGGAAAAATGAATTTCACTTTTTGATACATTCAAGAAAATATACCCTGAGTTCTGAAGATATTTACCAAAGAGCGGTTAAAAAAGGTTTGAGTAATGGCAGCATTGTTAGGATAAGTGTATAGCTGCCTCTTGGTTTCTATAAAAAGAAATTAGAAGTGGATGGATAAATATAATCTGACAGGCTTATTTAGAAAGAATCTCCTGGGGCCGGCCCCGTGGCCGAGTGGTTAAGTTCATGTGCTCCGCTTTGGCAGCCCAGGGGTTTGCCGGTTTGGATCCTGGGCCTTGACATGGCACCGCTCATCAAGCCATGCTGAGGTGGCATCCCACACGCCACAGCTAGAAGGACCCACAACTAAAAATACACAGCTATGTACTAGGGGGCTTCAGGGAGAAAAAGGGAAAAAAAAAAAAGAATCTCCTTTCCATACTATGTCAATGTATGATGTATATTATATGTGTATGATGTATATTAAATATACTCAATGTACGTGTATATTAAATATACATCATATGTTTTTATATATATATATTAAATATACTCAAATAAACTTACTCATGAGTAAAATTGTATTAATAACCCTCCCTAAGGGACTATATCATATTTACATGTTTTTTATAGTTCATCAACCTCCCCCCTTCGCCAGTACTCGCTGCTATCTTGATTAATACCTACAGACAGTTGATTAGAATTTGCATAAAAATTTTGGAATGAGATAGTGGGCAGACAGGCACAAAACTTAGAAAAGAGAAAATTGTCTTAATTTGTTCAAAGTTTTTTCATGGAATTTGAAATGTGTAACAGAAGAAAGCTTAGGTAGAATACGTAGTTCAGTACATAGAATATACGTAGAAGACTTCCACTGATAAAAATAGCGATAATTTCAATTTTCTGAAGAAATTACCAAATGTTCAGAATGTTATCAGTTAAAAATGTTTCATAGGGGCTAGCCCCGTGGCCGAGTGGTTATGTTCGCGCGCTCCGCTGCAGGCGGCCCAGTGTTTCGTTGGTTCGAGTCCTGGGCGTGGACATGGCACTGCTCATCAAACCACGCTGAGGCAGCGTCCCACATGCCACAACTAGAAGGACCCACAACGAAGAATATACAACTATGTACCGGGGGACTTTGGGGAGAAAAAGGAAAAAAAATAAAAATAAAAAATATTTCATAAATATTTTTCTTAAACTTTTAATTATTCATTTGTAGAACAATCTTGCATAAAGAAGTTCTGCCTGATCTAGCACAATATTATGTATTTATCTTATGTTTAATTCATTATTTTATGATATTTTAAGACTTTAAGTTTCTTTATTGCTTGGAATAGTTTGAAAACATCTGGTATAGTTTGTGCCACACTTTAGAGTTAAGAAAATTGAGAAAAGATAAAGTGACCTGCTGTCACACAGCAAATTAGTACTAGAATACAAATGTCTTCTTTCCGCTAACACCAGTTCTATCATATGTGAAAACAAAGATAATAGAAAGATATAACGAGAACAAAAGATTAAAGGACTCCTTCAGTGAGATACAGGGAAAGAGAGAAGAGATGAAAAGGATGAATAAAGAGGTTAGAAGAAAGCCTCATTGGGAATAACTGCAGAAAGCAAGAGCAGGGAGTGGACAGAAGCATGTCCAATTCCGAGAGAAGAAGAATATTATCTTGAAGTCACTCACAGTCATCACACAGGTTGTAGCCCCAGGTGGAGACAGTGCACATAGCTTTTTCGGACACAGGTTCAGTGGGTAAGCTGACCAGATTCACATAGTCGTTGAGTTGAATATTTGTTTTCAGCTTTATTAACATGAGGTCATTTTCAGTAGAAGCAACTGAGAAGTATGGATGATAAATGATCTTCTCGTACCCAACAATTTGTACATTATTTTCCTTGTCATTTGATGGGTTGGTAACCCCCAATATCACCTGAAGACTCCTGGAACAACATGGATTCTCATGAGACAACTTAATAGAGACAGCTTATCCATCCTCATGGGCTTTATTAGCTCCTCCCCACAGAGTTTTTTCTGTACTCCTGAGCATACCCAGAAGGCCTCCATGACCCCATTTAATTGGGCAGTGGTCCCAGGCAGGGGCCTGTGTCCGTGCCCAACCTGAGAACCCAAAAATAGAATGGTGTTGGGTGCTTATTACTCACGGTAAGTTGCAATGTGCAGCTGTGATCACCCAAAGTGGGTGGATCAGGACTCCAACACAGGGCAAGTAATCAGATTTCAAGTATGCCAAGTAGGGGAAGGTGATGAAATCTGTGTAATCTGGATCAAAGGCTAAAACAACTGAAAGAGAAACATAGACAGGAAATTCTGAGATTATTTTAGGGATCACTATAAAGAAACAAGAGAAAATTAATTACCTGGCTCAAGTTCTCTCCAGTATCTTTATCTGTAAGCTGAATTTGTAAACTGTCTTACCTTGTTCTGAAGCATGAAGAAAATGATAGAAACATGTCTATTTCAAGAGATAAAAGCATTTTCCCTTTTAGTTATCAATAAATATTCTTCAGATTAAAATACAAGCTTTCTTAAATACCTTCCACAATTCAGTGGGCATATGTTGAATCAAATCATGGAGCGCTTATTATTTTTACCATTTTTAGAATGCTTTTACCAATCTTATCCCTTTCTCCCAACAACAATGCAAGGCTGAATGATATAAATGCTGTTTAAAGAACAGACCATATGCTAACAGAGTATGAGGAAGGGGGAAATCGTTTATTCATTCAACAAGTAAACATTGAGTTCCTAGTATGTGCCAGGCTCTGTTTTAGGTGCTTAGGTTACACGGCAAACAAAACAGAGAAATATCCCTGCTCTCATGTGTTCTAATGAGAGGAGACATTCAATAATAATAAATATGATACATGGGCAAATGACCCAGTATGTTGAGTGGTGATTAGTGCTATGGAAAAAAAGGTAGAACAGAGAAAGAGGGAAAGGTAATACTAAGGATGTGCGAGTGAGCCTGTATGTGTGCCTGTGTGTGTGCGTGTGTGCATGTGTGTACGTGTGCATGTGAGTATGTATGGTGGGGCATTGGGCAGTATTACAGCAGCAGTCAGGGTGGACCTCATGGGAAATGTGAGAGATGAACAATGATATGATGATGGGGAAGTTAGGTAATCAGATATCTGGGGAATGGGATTCCGGGCAGAGGAAACAGCCGGAGCAAGAGTCCTAAGGCTTGCTTAAGGAATGTCACAGAGGCCAGTGGGGCTGGTGGGGTGAGTGAGGGGAAAAAAGCAGGAAAGGAGGGAGGTCTAAGAAGTGATGCAGGTTTTGTAGAATGTTGTAAGGATGTGGAATTTTCTGAGTGAAACATGGAACCGCTTGAGGGTTTTGTGTGAAGGAGTGATGATGATTTCGTTATGGAGAAGTGTTGAGTGTAGGAGTGTAAAGTAGAGAGGTCTGTTACAGAGTAATTTGATAATCCTGGCAAGATATGGTGGCTTGGACTATAGTGAGCAGTGGAGGTGACGAGATGTGATTGGATTTGGGATATGTTTAGAAGACACAGCCAATACAATTTCCCAAACAGATTAAACACGGAGTGTGAGAGAAAGAGGATTTTGCAGCGTTCCAATGTTCTTGCCTGAGTAACTGGAACCATTCTCAGACAAGACTAAAACCGTTGAATGCTCTGCCGTGTCCATTCGTTGGACCCCTGCTTTCAACCTTGGCCTCCACTTCTTATTCTTTCATGCTAATATCAGTCGTGTTCTACACAGGCCCAGAGTCAGGTCTCAGTCTTCCTTAGGACCGGGTCTGGTATTGGGGTTTCAATGTCCATGTCTCCTCAAAAAGCATACAAGCAATAAACCCGGGGTGAGTCAGGCAGAAAACCCATGGGGACGATGGCAGTGATAGGAGATAGAAATTAATCCTATACTCGCACTCTGGAACGTTGCCTCTGTCTCTATCCATCTGTCAAGATTCTCTCAGGATTTCTTTCTGGCCAGTAAAGAGAAAAATAAACAGACACTCACCAGGCAGGTTTAAGAGAGCCCAGAAGATGATAAACTTCATAATGATGTCAAAAGCCTTTTCAGAGGATGAGGTTCAGTTCGAGGTCTCTGGAAAGCATGGAGAGGAGGAAGGGAAAAGGACTAAGTAGGATCAAGCAAAAAGGGGTTCTGAGGTTGGAAAAATTACTATCTGAATTCTTTCAGTGGCAGTATTCAGTTCCAGAAGAGGTGGCATCAGTGTGAGTGGTGTCAAGTGTTAGAGGGACAAAAAGAGAGATCAGGTGACTTGATCCCTGACACTGCAGAGAATGGGTCTGGAATTCAGTGTTTTGTTCTCTTTCTTAAGGGAAGAAAGTACCTAAACTGAGAAACTTGAAGCTCACGGTCTTTCCTCCTCTCTGGTCCCACCTTGTCAAACTCTGAAATCAGGTCTCTCTTGAGATATGCCAGGATACTGGCCCCTCCCGTCTATGTGATGCCAACCCCCGTTTGTGTGACACTGACATGTATCTCCAGGGCCATAACCCAGACTCTGGTGCTGAGCTTGAACCCTCTGCCTGACACAAAACTCCTCCATGAGATATATTAGCCCTTTCTTTCCTTCGTGTCACTACTCACCCATGTATTCAATCAACCAGCCAGCCAATAAGCTATATTATGTGTCTGACTCATGCTATGCTTTGTGTGAACTGTTGAGGAGTGTTGCGAAGAAACTGTTCCTGCCTTCAAAGAGCTTATAGACCAGTGCGGATGATAGACACATCAACAGTGAATTACAAAACAAAGTATTCAGAGCTAACAATCTAGGTATACCACTGTCTTGGTGGAAATATTTGCAAAATATCTGTTAAATGATTTATATCCAAAATATATACAGAAATTTTAAAACTCAATAATCAGAAAACAAATAACCGAATTAAAAAGTGTGCCAAAGGTCTGAACAGACACCTTATCAAACACATTAGTGTACTCAGACTGCCATAACAAAATACCTCAGACTAGGTGGCTTAGACAACAGACATTTATTTTCTCAGAGTTCTGGAGGCCAGAAGTCCATGATCAAGGTGCCAGCAAATTCAGTTTCTGGTGAGAGCTCTCTTCCTGGCTTGTAGACAGCAGGCTCTCACAGGGCCTTTCCTCTGTATGAGTGTGTAGAGAGAGGAAGAGCCAGCTCTGCGTTGCCTCTTTTTGTAAGGACACCAATCCTATCAGATCAGTGCCCTTCCCTTATGACCTCATTTATTTCATCTTAATTACGTTCTTATAGGCCCTCTCTCTAAAGACAGTCACGTTAAGGTTTAGTGCTTCAACATGTGAATTTTGAGAGGACACAGTTTGGTCCTTAACAACAAAGAAGATATAAAGATGACAAAAAGCAGATGAAAAGATTCTCAACATGCCATTAGAGAATTACAAATTAAAACAGCAATGAGATACTACTACGCCTAGGACAGGGGCTAAAATTCAAAGCACTGAAGACAACAAATTTTGGCAAGGAGGTGGGACAGCAAGAACTCTCATTTATTGTTGGTGGGAATGCAAAATGGTATAGCTACTTTGGGAGACAGTTTCGTGGTTTCTTACAAAGCTAAACATAATCTTACCTTATGATCCAGAGCATTTGTACTCCTAGAGATTACCCAAATGAGTTGAAAACTTTATGTCCACAAAAAACTTACACATGAATGTTTACAGCAGCTTTATTCACAATTGCCAAACCTTGGAAGGGAGTAAAATGTCCTTAAATAAGTGAATGGATAGACAAAGTGTGGTGTATCCATACAATAGAATGTTCTTCAATGATTTAAAAAAATGCACCGTCAAGTGATGAAAGACATGAGGGAATCTTAAATGCATGTTACTAAGTGGTAGAAGTCAGTCTAAAAATGTTATATAGTGTATGATTTCAATTTATGACATGTTGGAAAAGGTAAACTGTAGAGACAGTTAAAAGATTGGTGGTTGGCAGAGTTTGGGGAGAAGGGGAGAGGTAGGTATACAGGTATACACTGTAAAATTCTTTCAGCTTTGTTGAATGTTTGAAATTTTCATAATAAAATGAGGGAGAAATATTTTTAAAAATTGAGGTATGTACATTAGAGCATAGAGTTAAAGATACTTCTTCAATTTACATTCTGTGTAAGGAAGGAGTACTCAGAAGTTACACTTTACCTGGCTCTTAGAGTAGGGGAAGGGGCTTGTCTGGCATAAAAGAGAAAAAAATAATTCAGAAAGAAAAATAGGTTTCTGTAAAGGCATGAATACAACATGGCATGTTTGTGGAACCACAACCAAGTGTTAAAGAGGTAGGTGGAGAGATAAACAGGAATCAAATAATGAAAAGCCTTATTATATAAGCCTTGCCTATATAAAACTTGCATAATTCTTTATTGTGTAGGCGATAAGGAGCCAATAAATTCATTTTTTGACAAAATTCTATTGACTTGTGTGGAGGACAGGCCCAAAGTCTCATGTTCACACCCTGCATAATCTCCAGTTGCCTCCTGTTGAGTGTGGGTGACACCTGTGACTTGCTTCTAACTAATAGAATAATGGTAAAAGTTATAGGATGTCATTCCTATGAATGTGTTAATATGTAATGTTGACATTGCATCTATATCTATGTCTATCTAATCTAATCTAATCTATCTATCTATCTATCTATCTATCTATCTATCTATCTATCCATCTTGCTAGCATGTACAAGATAGAGTCTTCCTGCTGGCTTGGTGAAGTAAGTGGCCATGCTGAGGAAGCCCACGGGGCAAAGAACTCTGTATGGGTGGCCCCTCTGCACTAAGGACAGCCTTGAGGCCCTGAGGGTAGCTTTCAGCTGACAGCCAGCAAAAAGCAAGGGCCCTGTGTCATACAATCACAAGGAAATGAATTCTGCCAAAAATCTGAGTGAGCTTAGAAGCAAATTTTTACCCTGGAGCCTTGCTAGACCCTGAGGAGAGGACTCAGCTAAGCCATGCCTGGACTCTGGACTCACAGAAGCTGTGAGCTAATATATAAATGTTGTTTTAAACTGTTCAATTTGTGGTAATGTTTTTACGCAGCAATAGAAAACAAATGCTAATGTATACTGAGTGCTAGAACTTCATTAGATATTTGATGGTGTAGTGGTAAGGGAGATGAGAATCTTGCCCTCATAGATCATAAAGACTAATAGGGGAGATAGATGTAGTAACTCTTGCCATCATGAATGTCACCCTGTTGGGTATTAAGGGAGGTAGAAAGCATAGTAGGGGCCCTAACATAAGGGTCAGAAGAAGACCTCCCTAGGGAAGTGATGTTTGAGGCTTGAAGGATGAGTAGAAGTTAAGCAAATGAAGAGATGGGGAAGAAGTCTCTGGGAAGATGAACAAGGACTCAAAAGAGAGCAGAGCGCATACAAAAGAATTTGAAGGGAGACACAGAAGAATCATACAGAACAGATCTTTCAGGAATTGTCAAGTAAAAACCACCTGCAAAGAAGACAGAGGAGGCAGTCAGAGAGTAGATCGAGGGAGCATGTCCTTGGGCCCTCTATTTTAGATGGGAGAGGCTTTATCTCGCTTAAATGGTGACAGAAATAAGCCAATACATAGGGGAAGTTGAAAAATGCAGAAAAGTAGAGATAATCAATAAAGCAAGTCCATGAGGAGGTCAGAGGAGATGAGATCCATATCACAGGTGGAGATAGAAGCTGTAGATAATAGTACCTTGCTTCCAGAAAGGATGGGGAAAAAAAATGAATGGGAAAAAAACTAATATATTTGCAGGTTGGGTGGTAGGAAGTTGAATGAGGTGTCTTCCGATGGTTTCAACCTCCCTCTACTCATAAACCAGAAGTCATATACTGAAGGCGAGCCCTGAAAGTTGAAGGAGAGAGGAGAATGTTTGAAATGCCAATTATGGAGAAATATATAGACAATTGACTGAAAAAATATAGGATTATCAGTAAGTGTTGAAGACATAATTTAAGAGTTACAATAAGTGATGAGATGAGCCTCTTATTAAAAACTCTCGGACAAATATAGATGTGATTCAATAAAGGGGGCAGTGAGCATTGGGCAGTGAATCAGAGACAGAAAGCAGGAGTAACTTGGAATGAAGCTGCTAGAGAAGATAGGCAAACAGAGAAGCTTGGGGTTTGGATGGGCCAGAGATTACAAGAAAAAGAAGCACAGTTAAGTTAAATGGCCTCGGTGTCTAAATTTGAGAGTATGATTGTTGTGTATGTGCCAGGAGAAGGTGTGGTCTTAGTCATAACCTAGCTTTGTTTGCTTGTTTGTTTTTTGCTTTGGTACGGGAGAAAAAGCGTCCAGGCTCAGAGTATATCAATGTGCAAGAACCAACCCACTTATGTAACCTCTACAGACAGACACATGGACTCACTATCTCCCTCATGGGATGGAACTCCAAACATCTTTACTCTTTGCAGAGTCTCCTTCTCCTGTGGCGTGATTCTCTCTTCCCCTCTCACTGACCCTCTCTGTCCCTCTTTCCATTTTTAACACATGATTTCATGTCACATCACATTGCCCCTCCCTTTCCCATAACTCCACAGCCTCTCGTATATCACTCTGGACATCTACTTTTGGCCACTCAGAATCCTCTCAATTCTGCACTTTTAGGGGCTCTGGACAGTAGGTCTGGGATGCTGTACATCTCCCTACTATATGCCAGTGTGAGAATTCTGAGCACTTGCCAGAGCTCTTCCCTATAGCACAGAGCTGCACTAAAGTCTGAGGTTACTACTCATAAACATAGAACTCCCCAGTTGTTATTGCCCAGATATCATCAGAGATCCAGGTCTTTGTCTCTAGCTGTCTACTAGAAATGACCACCTCCATGCCCTTCAAGGATCTCAAACATAATATACCCTATCTCTTCTAATTCATGCCCACATCTCCAAATCCTTTACATTTGAAAACACTGGTTCTCTCCATATCATCTTTGAGAACCACCAACTGCCCACTTGCCCAAGTCAGAAACTTGGGCATTATCCCAGACACTTCCCCTTCTTTTTCTACTCACAGTCAATACATCTAAACTGCACAGATTCTGCTTCCTTAGTATTTCCCACTTCAGAAATTCGACAATGGTCTCTCTATCATGGAGGCTTTAAAGATACCCTCTCTGATGCCTACAAGATAAAAATCTAAATTCCTTTACTGAACAGGCTAGGCCCTTCACTATCTAACAGCTGCTCACCTACAAATAATCATCTTTTATCAGTCTTTCTCCTCCCCTGCAGACAATTTATTTTATACCCTCCAGTATTACTTATATTTTCCAGAACATGCCTGGTTTTTTAACATTTTTCTGGTTTTCATTTAACTATACCCTCAGTTTTACAGTATTTTCCCCTAATTTGCCTGCCTCTTTGGTGATATCTTCCCTGACTCTGACACTCAGCAGGGTTTTTTCTATGCTTTTATGGAACTTATTGCTCATCTCAGTTATAGCACTTGTCACAAGATATTAAAGTTGGCTAATTGATGACAAAGTCTATGTCATCTTCACTCATGTAACCTTGGCATATGCAGTACATACGGAATAGCTGATGGTTTAATAATTTTTGAATGAATGAACAAATGGTGGGGATGTTGCTAAATTTCTTATCGTTTTCCAGTTTATATAGTAAAGAGATTGGGGTCATGGCATGAGTTCTTAGTGTCACTTTTTTTTTAATTGAATGTTTTCCATTTGGATTCTGTTCAAGAACAAGAAAGACCAAGAGATTTGTGGATCCAGTATAGAAATCATGAAGATATTGCACTGAGGATATGGAGGAAAGAGGAGCCTCAGTGGGTATTAATGATTTTCATGATCCATCTTGCATAGGAATAAACTTCTGTGAAGAATCCTTCACTTCCCAGGGTGACACTTCCTTTTGCCCAGGACAGGATTCCACGTAACCTCCCACTGCAGATGGCTGGAGCAGCTGAAACTTCCTACCAGGAAAAGGGAACAAGACATCAATGTTTCTTTGTTCTCAGGGAACAATAATAAATCCCAAAAAGTAGCACTTTATAGTTGCAGAGGCATCTAAGGGGGTGGATTCATTTTTCTTGAGAGGGGACAACCCTCTCTTCACATCCACGTAGGTCTCACCTCTCTTGGTTCAAACTTAATCCAACCTGAGTGTAAGCAGGAGAAAGAACAAATGGTTCTACTCAGAATCTCTCCCACTCTAAAAAGGGGAAGGGGGAGTAATGACAAAACCAAAGACTGGGGGCCAGCCTGGTGGCGTAGTGGTTAAGTTCACACGTTCTGCTTTTCGGTGGCCCGGGGTGCGCTGGTTCGGATCTCAGGCGCTGACGTGGCACCACTTGGCAAAAGCCATGCTGCAGTGGGCATCCCACATGTAAAGTAGAGGAAGATGGGCATGGATGTTAGCTCAGGGCCAGTCTTCCTCATCAAAAAAAAAAAAAAAAGAGGAGGATTGGCAGTAGTTAGCTCAGGGCTAATCTTCCTCAAAAAAAAAAAAAAGAAAAAAACCCCACAAAAACCCCCCCAAAGACTGAGGAGGGAGAGGAGAGTGACTTCAGGCCCGTTGGATGAGTACCCTTTGATTTCTTGCAATCACCTCTCCTCCTCATGGAGCCCTGGCTATCTTCCTAGCTGGGGAAAGGAAAGATACCTTGATTTTAGACATGCTCTTCAGAGGCTGTCCCACACACATGATGTTTACTATCATTCTTCCATCTAGCATATTCTGGCAGTCATTGAAGGGAAGAGAATGTTTGTTTATCCAAGTCAGGATGTCAGGGTCACTAACTGTGGAAAAGAGAAGACAAATGAAGTTCAGGGTGTTTTCCTTATCATATATACTGTTGAGATCAGCCCGTTTTGTAAATACAATAATCCCTGAGAATATTCAATGCAGATAGCCAACATTCCATCCTTCTTAGGATCCTCGTTCAGTATCTCTGTGTTAGAGCAGTGGATTCAGAGCATCAAGTCCCATCAGATCTGTAGTTCTCTCTCTACTATGCATAATTTAGAAAACTTTGAAAATCCACGAGAAAATTATGAATGACTATGAAAAGAGACAGACACAAAGCCATTGTTCCCAAGAAACCCTTACTTTTGGCACCTACTTCATCTTCTTTACATTTAATCATAAAGGGAGAAAACTATTTTTAATGTGTCTAAAAGTGCTTTTTTAAAGAAATAGATTATTTAGTAATGGGTTATTTATAAGTGTATATATGTGTGTATATGTATTAATATACATAAATTTTCCCCTCAGAAGTCATATTGCTCATCTCAATCATAGCAATTATTACTATACTGTTAGCCTCAGGATGCAAGGATTCTAACCAAGGTATTACATAATTTTAATCTCCGGTAGAGAGCAGCAGGAAGAAGGAAACAAAAATTGACCACAGCCTAGTGTTACTTATGGAGCAGGATTTTTCTGATAGAGTATATCCAATCTAATGTCCTAAAGAAGATTAAACCAGATAGTGTCAGGTTAGAAAAGAGAGGAGTTATGTTGAGTTTTAAGTTTTTATGGGAATTCAATTGACGTATATAGAATAAACTAGGTGAAAGTTTTTGAAACAATGAATTACTAAAAAATATTGGGAGCCTTGAACCAGAAAGCTTATAGAATTACAATTTTTCGCTATGATTCTGACTTGCAGAGCCTGTGTGATAAAACCCTTGCAGTACAGTTTTATTTTGTTTTCAAATGGTATATTATAAATTACTTTTGTAAAATGTGATGCAATTAATTTGAATAAGACGTAAAGTTAAGGATAAAAATCATGAAGCTTCAATTTATTCAGAAAATATATTCACTTAGATTTTCAGGAATGTTGCTTCTAAATTGAAAATGAAGTTACAAATACTGAAATATAAAAGTCCCTACTTTTTATTTCCGTTTTTTTACAAAACATTGATTTTAAAATTTCCCACTTTTTATTTGTTTTTATAGAACAGACGGCTTTTTCTGTAGGCACCAGCACAAAGTTTAAGCCTGATTAGTATCCATGGCAACTAGCCTCAGCAACACAGCTTTAGCAAACCAATCAATGAATGCCACTTTTTAAACTCAGCCAATCAGAAGCCCTTCTAATAAAGGTGCCCCAGAGTGCCAAACAATCAACAAAAATCTCACCCAAGTTATCGTGCCTCCACAGATGATGTCAACCCTCTTAAGACTCTGAAGGTCTTCCAGTTCCTGTATAGAAACTTCCCACAAATCCCACATAAACCCAGTACTCAGCTCTGCTCAGTGAGACTGTGCCTGCTTAGCATTGCTCTTCCTTACTATAATAAGCAATAAATTTAGCTTTATCAATTTATTTCAAATATCAAGTGGTGGTTCCATCATCCTTTGACAATACCTAAAGAGAGTATAACGAGTTATTAGTAGCCACATGAAGTAAAGGCTACGAGGGACCAACCTTCTCTGCTCATACCAATTAGAGTTCAGAGGGTAGAAGGATGTGTGCCTGCAACCTGGGTGGTGGCAATTTTTCCCAGAGGCATGTCAGACCAGAGGGACACCAACAGTATATCATAATAATCAACTCCCCTATGAATCCTGCTAGTCCCCACTTCAAAGTGAGAACTATTGGAGGAAGCAATAGATCTAAGAGGTCTCTGCAAGGAAACAGCTCTGGTGATGTGAGAGATGGCTGCCTCCACCACCTTCTTATCTCTCAGAATCCACTTGAATGAATCACCATCAACATAAGGTTGGGTATGGCGGGGAGTGGGAAGTATTCTCTGTTGGCTCACCATATCACTTGTTTTGTTTTTGTTTTTCTCACTGCTGTTCCATTAATTTCTTGGTGGACTATCAGCAGCCACAGGATGTCTTGAATAGTATCTCTAAGGTGAGGACTTCTAGTTTCCCCAACTTTATTTAAGTTCAGTTCCCTGGACTCTTGTCTATTGAATGTTCTAGAGATATAACAATTACTGCCTGCTCCATGCATCAGTGTAGATTGGCTTCCCTACATCAATCAGTCTCTTTGAATTTTATCATTTGGCCTCTACTCTTGATAGTATAAAGTCCTGGCAGTAATCACTCTAGGGTCAAGAACAATACCTCATAGCAGTTATTTCCTTCAAGTATATTCCTCCACATTTTTCCCAACTCCAAAGTCTCTTCAGGATGAACATAGAGTCAAATACTTACGGTTTTTATACTCCTTCCAGATCCAGGTTGGGATAAAGCAGGTATCATTAGTTGCTAAGTGTTCCATAGCTACGGCTATGGTTCCTACATGGCTGTTGAGTGCCGCAGGCTTGGACAGTTTTATCATCATCAGGTCATTTTCCAGAGTTTCTTTGTTGAATTCAGGGTAGATCACAGTCAATGAGTAATTCCGTATCTGCTCTTTCTTATTTTTGATGCTGGGTTGATAAACTCCCAGTCGGATTTTAACACTTCGGAAGAAAGAGGGCAGGAAGATGGAAAAGAGCAGGGTCACAGAATGTAAGAACTGCGACAAACATCAGAAATGACCTTCCCCAATCATCTTAATTTTATCTCTTAGACCGGAGAACTGAAGTGACCTGCCTTGGTCTGTAAAATAGTAATAACAATAGTTTACAGGATTATTGTATTAGAGTCAATGTATGTATAGAACCTGACATCACGGTATGTACCACCTAGAACACTCTCAGCACAGTCTAGTTATTATATTATTATTGTTTACTGTTAAGATTTGGATAATCCAAATGAGTAGGTAATAGAGATGGCACCACAATCCATTATTCTAGAGCTCTTTGCCTATACTACACAGCCTCAAGCAACTCTAGAACAAGCATATTGGACCCTTTGTTTCCGGCTATTCTTAGGCCCGTCCCAGCTGCTCTCAGGCCAAGTAAGATAGACTCTTAATATCATCAGGTAAGACGGACTCTTCATAGTCTATCAGGATTCCCACTTACCACTTTCTCTTATATTTCCTGGACAAATTCAAACCCACCTATTTCCATTGCCAGGAGTCCAGTCATACAACAGATACAAGAACCATTCCCTACCAAAAACAGTTCATGCATTAGATCTAGTGGAGAAAAAAAAAATCAGATTTTCCAACTTCAACTCTTGGAAGGAATGAACTGTCTTTATTTCCTTTATATTTCTGATAAGGCGCAGAGCAAGGGTTCACTCTGTGTTCAAGTAAACTGTTTTTGAAAAACTAGGTGGCTGAGAGCTCTGAGTTTGAAATAACCCTTGTATACTGCTGAAACTCTGAATAGGTCCCAGTCACAAGACACATCTCTCACCCAATCACAATAGAGACACTGAAATTTACAAAGGATAGCATTATTTTGTGCAGTGCCCCTTGCCCTTCTCCTGTTTCCTGCATCACATCATATGGCTTCTGCCTAACTCTTCAACCTCATCCTGCGAACATCCCTCCTACTCTATACACTCAGTCAACACTGACCTCTGTTTGCCAAATACTTGAATATCTTTACAACTTCATGGACTTTATGTACACTCTTCCCTCTGTCTGGAATATTCTCCAGGCTTTATTCACTTGGCTGCCTCATCTTCTTCCTATTGGTCTCATCTCTTCAAAGAGGCTTGGCATGACCACCCTAACTAAGGTAGATCTCTTGTTTGATTCCGGTGTATTACAGCTTGCCACTCTTTTTGTATTTTATCTTTGGCCACTTATTTGTTTTGGCTTACTTCTTCTACCAGAATGTAAGCTCCATGAGGGAAAACTTATTTCCATCTCATTCCCTCGCTGTTTTCTCAGTGCATTAAGCAGTCCCTGGCAGATAGTAAATGTTCAATAAATATGTTGAATGAATGAATATTATTTACTCTCCATGAGAAAGAGTCTTCTGACACCTTCCTATTGATCTCCTCTTAAACCACCAAAATGTGTATTATTTTCCCCATTGGGAAGAAGAGCCTCTCTCTTCCTGGACCTTCTGATTCCCTTAGGATATCATTAAAACTTGCTGAGATGCCTCATAAGACTTACTTTCATTTAAATAGATTTCTTCCAGCTCCCAAGAGCAAAGGGATACTTACGGTAAGGGGCAGTGAGCAGCTGTCAATACCCACTCAGGGTGAATGAGAGACCCCACACAGGGTTCTGGGCTGGATTGCAGATAGACCATGTAAGGAACAGGAAAATCTTCTTGTAAGTCCAGCTTTTCATTTTTAGAATCGTTGGCCAGAACAACTGTCATAGGTGGAAAGAGACAAAAAGTTTGAGAGGCGAGAGTTGGCTAAGGCAGTTTTTCCCAACCTAAGGTTTTCAAAGATATTATCAAGGTCTTCACCTTATTTTAAATATTTTTTTTTAAATCAGAGGGAATTATGCATGTCACCCAAGCTATACACATTAAGAAAACCAACATGTCTCTTTGCTTGAGATAGAATTATATTAAAGATCTGTTAAACTAGCACATGGGCTTGTCTGAGGCTGATCAGAAACTGGCAGCACTGTGTATTACAAAAGTGAAAAAAGTGAATTATTACTTTAGAAACATTATTTTTAATTAACTTTTGCCAATTAAGCATGGAAGTAAAAAATTGCATACTGCCTGACTTTGGTGATCAAAGCTCTGGGGAGGACCATGAGGCTTCCAGAGCCCTGACCCAGCCCACCTTCCTTTCCTGTGCCCACTCCTCTAAAGCCCATCTGCCCAGGGAAAAGGAAGTGTGGCTGTCCAGGAAAAGTGGCAGTCTAGGAAGTCACACACCCAAGACTCTTGGGAGAAAGTAAGCCACATGTGGTGACATAACCTAACATGTTCACAGGTCTCAGAGAGGCTTAGAGAGCATGCTGATGGGATGAGCTGCACACGGAGAGTGTTTCCTTCCATTTCCTTCAACAGTTAATTGAAGCAAATGTTCACCACTTCCTATCTCTTCAGTTGTGGCTAGCTGCTTCTCCTTCCTCCCCTTCCCTACACAATCCCATCTCCTTCTAGGCCACTGCAAGGCCTCAGACTCACCAGCTGCACTCATGAAAGCAAAGATGAGACAGCACTTCATGGCAGGCTGTGATCTCACCAGGAGCAGACAAGTTGGATCAAGTTGTAAACTGTCCCAATTTTCAGTCCAAGTGCCCTTGACAAGAACTGCTGGGGGAGAAACATTAATTGAGGGTCATGAGGAAAAGCAAGGATCTTACAGCAGTTTTCAAACTAGTCCTCATCAAAACCCAGTTGTATAAGGCATGGCTGGGAGCTGTCTCTGGTATGAGTGAAAGAGAGAAAGGAGCAGACCAAGTCAAGACCCTGGTGCCTCTTCTCTGCTCCTAAAAATCTCAGGAGTGATGATGTATCTGCTGACATTTTTCCTCCCCTCTTTGTGACATAGCCTTTCTTTGTTGTCCCCTCTTCCCTTTGTGACTGTGGCTCCTCTCTCTCTGGCCTCACTTGCCATCTCCCTTCTTCCAGAGAGTCCCTCTGTCATTCTCAGAGACTCATCAAACATGGGGATGTGAAATAAATTTGATAAACCATTCCTCTGGCCCCTCCCCTCCCATTTTAGTGATGAGGAAGCTGTGGTCCTCATGGAAGTTAGAGGCAAAGGCAGGACTCAGAAATGAGTCTCTAGATTTCTTCTGACATATTGAACCTTACCTGAGTCTTGTGCTCCCAGAAAAGAGCAGTGAGTAAAAAATTCTCCAGGAATTTTGTATTCTAGGAAATGGTGGGCCACAGAGAATTGCCCATCACCACATGAGCTAGAAGAGACTGTCTACTCTTTCTTTTGGTTCCCAAAAGACTTGAGATGACTTCTTTGTTTACCTGTGATAAGGTCAAACACAGACCTTTCCCCTTTTGCCTGAACTTGCTGACATGACCAGACACAGACCCTCCAACTTTGTCTCACGAATGATTAGCTGAGCTTAGAACTATTTTTCCCCTGAAACTAGCTGAACATATAGAGATAAACACTTCTGTTTCGCTAACTGGTTGAGAATTCTCCTGATTGCAAAACAACCTCAACTGTGAATCTCTCCACCTGTAACTTGTGCATTTCTCCCTATAAAAGTCTAAGGCAAAACCATCCTGCTGAGACATTCTGATCTTCAGATCTGGATGCTCTTCTTATTGCAATAGTCTGAATAAGGTCAATCTCCTTACCTGTTCAGTTTTTGTCTTTGACACTTAGTACTCTTTCCAATGCACCACAGTCCTTTCTATAAGTTAGCCTTACATGATAACTTTCTGACAGAGATATGTGATAGTGAGTTCAATCAGGGATATTGGTCTATCATTTTCTTGTACTGTCTTTCTCTGGCTTTGGTATCAGAGTAATACTGGCCTCATAGAATGAGTTTAGAAGTGTTCCTTACTTTTCAATTTTTTTGGATAAGTTTGAGAAGGATTGGCGTTAATTCTTTAAATGTTAGGTAGAATTCACCAGTGAAACCGTCTGGTCTTGGTTTTTCTGGGTTGGGAGGTTTTTGACTCCTGATTCAATCTCTTTATTCATTATTTGTCTGTTCAAATTTTCCATTTATAAGGTGCTTAGAACAGTGAGTTCTAGTGGCAAACAGTAAATGCCATATAAATGCTTGTTAAATAAAATAATTGTAACCTTAAGATCCCCATATTTTCCAGCTTCTGGGGACGACTTTCTATCTTAATGTCCAAAAGTTGTTGTGAAGTCCTTAAATCTTTTGAAATTTCCATGTTTACTAAAATAGCAGTGAAGAGCATGGACTGGAGTCCAGCTTCTAGGGTTCAATTTCTCGCTTCAGGAATTCCCTAGCTGCCTTATCCTGAGAAAACCAGTTAATCTCTTTAAGCCTCAAAATGGGAGGAATATTAGTACCTATCTCATAGGATAGTTGTGGGGATTAAATATTATTTAAAAGCACATAAACATAGTGTGTGGCACATAGAAAATAATAAATACTAGTTATGATTATTATTACATTTTTGCACCTCTGCAAAAGTGAGAAATCAGTCCTGAATCCTAAGAAGGATCAAACCTTCAGTATGTTCCTGGTCCACAGAATTGTGTATTTTGGCTCCAGTATGGTCCAGGAACATGGTTCCTCCTCAAGTCAGGGATTCAGAATTATTGAGCACCTGTGGGTTTAAGGACTCCTCAATCCAATACAGCTCTCTCTGCTGAGATAAATTACTACCCATTCCAGTTCTAAACATGTCTCGCTTGTAACATCCGCTGACAAATGTGACTGAAAAGATGTGGGAGGATGAGGGGGGAGCCAATCAGTAGTCCTAATCTGCTCTGTGCTGTACTCGTTCTCAGCTGGCTTTCTCCTTGGAGATGAGTATAAATAACGAGAGTTTTGTAAGGTGGTAAGTGTTAACAGTAAATTTTATAAACTAAACATCCTGGGAATTTCATTAAAAACAAACTTTACTTTTGTTTTATACCTATCACACGTTTATTGAGAAAGATACAAAAAAGTAACAACAGAAATAAGAAACAAAAACAACAAAAACTCACTAATTACAACTACATTTAGAGTTGTTCATTAAGAGTATATCAGGCATTGCAAAACTATCTCTTTTGCTCTTCCCATTCTCTATAATTTTCCTTCCCACTAAAAATGTTAACAATTCTTTAAGGCTTTTTTTAAAGAGCAGTTTTAGATTCATAGCAAAATTGAGAGGAAGGTAGAGAGATTTTCCATATACTTCCTGCCCACACACAGGCATAGCCTCCACCATAATCAACATCTTCCATCAGAGTTGTACATTTGTTACACTCAATGAACCTACATAGACACATCACTATCACCCAAAGTCCACAGTTTCCATTAAGGTTCACTCTTGGTGTTATGCATTCTGTGGGTTTGGACAAATGTATAATGACAGGTGTCCATCATGGTATCATGCAGATTATTCTCACTGCCCTAAAAATCCTCTGGGCTCTGCCTTCTCGTCCCTCCTACTCCATCCCAACGCCTGGAAATCACTGATCTTTTTACAGAATGTTGTATTGTTGGCATCATACAGTATGCTGCCTTTTCAGATAGATTTCTTTCATTTTTTAATATGCATTTAAGGTTCCTCCACGTCTTTTCATCATTTGATAGTGTATTTCTTTTTAGAGATGAATGATATTGCATTGTCTGGATGGACCACAGTTTGTCCAGTAACCTATGGGAAAACATCTTGGTTGCTTCCAAGTTTTGGCAATTACAAATAAAGCTGCTATAAACATCCATGTTCAGGTTTTTATGTGGACATAAGTTTTCAGCTCTCTTGGGTAAATACCAAGGAGTGTGATTGCTGGATAATATGGTAAGAGTACATTTAGGCAGATTCCTTGGCTTAGATAAATAAAAAATGATTAGTATGAGCCACTCAGAGTTACTGAGTATCTCAAAGACTAAATAAAGACTTTTGTATTTGTATCCTTTCAACAAGACAAACATTCTTAACTGACTTTTAAAAGTATAAAAAAGACTAAAATAATACTAAGATAGTAAATTAGTTTTTAAAGGTATTTTAAAATTTGATTTCAATACTAAAGTTACGTGCTATAAAAGATAAATGATTAGAATAGTTTGCATTTAAAAAATAAATCAACTAAGATTTCTAGGGAAAAAGAGGCCTCTATTTGTTTTATTACAGCAAATTTTCTTAGATAAATTCATCCTGAGCACATGTTGAAATTCTTTGCTTGTCAATGGGAAAACTAACAACTGGATTACAGAATATACCAATTTGAAGTAAACTTACTTCTACCCTGCTTATATAGTCTATCTGAAAAATAATATTTACATAAGCAACTAAGCTTGTAAGTGTGGATATTGCTTTATTTTACGTAGCTGTTAAAGGTCATAACCATGAAGTTGGCAATTGAGAGCCATCTTCTCAGAGTTTTCAGGATCAAGTGATAAGTAAGGTAAATTTATCTGTTACTATAATTAGACATGAGAAGCAAAAAAATGTGTGTCTCTATGCAGTTGTTCCTAATGTCAGATAGTTACCTCTTTACATTTCTTTGTTTTTGCTACAAAGCTACCATGTCTTCCTGGATCTTATTGAATCATGAATTGGGTATTTATTTGTAGTAAATACATTTTAGGGAGAGATATTTCTTCTGACTCTACAAAGTGGCTTTTTATTTTAAATTGTAGTATGTTTTCATAGGTCTGTTGACGTTTTTCTTTGATTATAGTTTAGAAGCAGATGTATGCTGTCTAGTCATCCATCCCTTTATCGTTCACTTTTCCTGTGGCATTTGCATTGATCAGCATTATATTCTATAGTCTCTATTATTTTCTATGTATCCAATCAGACTGTATATACCATAAAGGCAAAGTTTTGACTGTTTTCTTTCCTGCTATATCTTTGGTGCATAAAACAGAGTCAGGCACATAATAGGCCCTCAATAAGTATTTGTTGAGTAGGTGGTTGGATAAGTGAAGAGAATAGCTATAATGTCCACTGCGAGACATACCAGGTTTATTTAATCAATCCTCTATTAATGAATATTTGAATTGTGTCTTGATTTTCAGGCTTATGTAGATAATGCATCAATAAGCATCCTTGATTATTCTGGTGGACTTGGCGGCTGCCTCCTTAACATCCACTCCTTCTTCTTTTGATAACTGCTTTTATAATTATTCAGTTAACCAAACATATACCAAGAAGGCCATGTTTATTGCAGAATGGAAAGTCACTGCTTGCTCTGATGGTATGCCCTGTAACTTAATTGTAAGTTAATCAGCATAATCCCATTCGATTATTGGCTCAGAGATGTGCAAATGAGAAAATTCAGTTAAAGAGACATGACATGATGTCTGCCAGGGCCTTCTGGGAAAGAAGCTTCCTAGATCTTCCGGGAGCAACTTTATTTATCTCTCTCCCTAGATACAGACAAGGGAGAGTATTGCTCTGAGAGCCATTTTGATCACAAGGCTTTATCCTGAGGACAAAGCTGACTGTAATGCAGAGGGCAAAGACAGAAATAAATTGGGTCCTGGATGACATTTTTGAATTGCTCAATCAAACCATCCTCGAAGCCCTTCCGATTTCTAAGATTCCATTAGTACATTTTTAAAGACTGTGAATTGGATTTTCCGTTCTTTGCAACCGAATGACCCCTAAATGATACACTCACATTTATACATCTTTTTTTCTGTTTTTACATGCATATTTTAATAGGCTAGAGTTCTAGAAGTTAAGTTGCTAGGTCAAAGAGCATATATGTTTCACATTTTAATATAAATTCACAAATTGTGAAGAGTTAGATTTTAAACAAAATAAGAGATAGAAAATGGTGAGATATACTGAAAAGGGACTACTGGTTGGCATCAAGAAAAA